ATATTAACACATTTATAAAAATGATACATCCAAATTAGATAGTTGCAATCATAGATCTGTTTTTTATTCCTGTGCTAAAGTTGACTAGAGTTCCTATAACAGAGTCTGGACACTGCATGCGCGCATGCCCGTTTCGATTAACAGTCGAAACCGGAAATGTATCGCCATTCAAATGACTGCTTGCTGTTGTACGTGACAATAGAGTTGAATTCAAACTATTTAAATGATCCAAAATGAAAGAAAAAGTAGAATAGAATTGTATAAGCGAGCAAAAATTAATATGCTGTCTGACAACGTATCAATATTCCTGCATTCGTTTACGCAGCGGTTAGCGCAGAAGTATTACTTTATCCTTATTATTCACTGAGTGTTAAACAAGAATTAAATGATACTCTCTGTACTAATCGCTGCGTAAACGAATGCACTCTATGTCTTGCAATCATCATATAATGATATATCTGTATAATGTGTATACTAATCTATACTGCTGTTGCGGGATCTCTAAACATTTTACCGCTATCGTTAACTAGTAACAATGAGAATGACTCTTTTTTTCAGGATTATCTTGCCATTGGCTGTCGCTAATTCACGATAACATTAATGGCGGAAGCAATCAGCAATTGTTTCAGCAGTCTCTAGATTCTATTATAGGGACTTTAGACTTGACTAGAACTCTCCTTCTCGCTTTCAAATATCAAACATATACCTATTTCATTTTAAGTTCTAAAAATGTACACTAGTTCAGCTATAAAAAACAAATCTAATGTCAATCACCGATGCATGTTTTTACATTTTATTTTTAAATTTACGTAATATAAAAATAAATAAACATTTAGCCATAACAAAATTTGTCGATACTTACTATAAATACGTACAAATAGATAGCGCAAAAGAATATATGCAGCAGTTTCTTAAAAAAAAAATATTCCCCCAAAATATAAGTCACATTTTTATGTTTTACACTGGAATACCCTTTAACGTGTTGCCATTTACAATTCATATTTTTATATTTTTATATTTTTTATTTCGTATTTCATAATTCTTTACGTTAACTTAACAGATTTTTTTATATTCACGCTACCTTTTAATAATTCTTGCAGACGTGCTATCGACTGTTTTTGTATCTCAGGAGACTCTCTTAATTCCTTCCTTGCTACTTCCTGCAATTCTGGATTAGCAGACTCGAACTCGAATTCGAACTTAAAATCGCCAAGTTTTATGAACGGCATTTCAGTGAGGTCCGATAACATGATTTCTGAAAAAGTGGTAAAGTGGTATGTTAGCAAGTCTCTCTCTTTTAGACAATATTTATTATATTTTTTTTTTAACAGATATTTTCTAACAACAATAATAAACACTCGTCGATTTATGTAACAATTAATTGTTAATTTATTGTGCTAATTTATTAATAAGACAAGTTATAAATATTTATAATGTAAAAGAAAAATTTTGCAAATAATATTGTTTCAATTTTAATTAAACATAAAAAGATATAAAAATATATAGTATTAATGAAATTTTTTAGAAGGAGAAGTGCAGGAGATTTTTTTACGGTTAAATTAGAAATGAGATTTTTATGATTAAATTAGTGACGAAATTTGTAAATTTATTTTAAGGAAGATACAAAGGAACACTTATTTGTTGAAATGTTGTTTATTACTAAATTTTAGTTGTAGAAAATTAATTTGTAATACAAAATTTATCAAAAATACTTTATTAAAAATATTGAAGTCTTGTGTCATTAAAAACAGACTTGAAAATTTTGAGTTTTGTAATAGAATTTTTTGTATCAAGGTTTGGATTTAGTTTTCCTCAGTACATTTTGGTTTGTAGATTAAAATCTAAAACAAACATTACAAAAATAGTAACAATATAAATAATTGTCGATTTTTATGCAAAAATTTTTTGCAAGAGTTTTATGTTTATATTGTTACCATTTTATATTGTATAATAATATGTTTCTAACATAATACGTTTATTTTAGATTCAATCTATGGAATTTCCTGAGAAGAAGTAGAAAATTTTGTTAGAAATTACGAAATCGTGATAACAAAACGCGCAGTAATACTCCATAGTTTTTAGATCTGTTTTCAATAGTAGTAGTAAATTATATTTCTAATGAGTCTTGCATTACAATTTAATTTTGTATTATAATTTAATTTTGTATTATAATTTAATTTTGTATTATAATTTAATTTTGTATTATAATTTAATTTTGTATTATAATTTAATTTTCTACATCTTATAGAGAACTATGTCATTTATTCTTTTTCCTAAAATAAATTCACAAATTTTGCTTTCAAGTTAACCATAAAAATCTCTTATCCTTTTTTAAATAATCCAGTCTTTTATCTTATATTATCTATTTGATTTGAAATATTAAATTCAAAAGCAAGTTCATAACAATATATATTATACTTAGAATATATAATCACTGATAATAATCAATACGTTGATTATATTTATATTCTAATATTACACGAACGGTAAGTAAGAACAATTGACGCTTGCAATGAATTAAGCGATATTGTCAACAATTGCGTAAATCAATGCAAAAAATTTTTATTCTTCATAAGAACGATAGTTAATTAATGCAAATAATCGATCGAATCCAGAGGTCGCGGATTATAACTTCTTTTTGGCGCGTCACGTTCACATGAATTATCATTGAAAACGTGATTCAGCAACGTTATCAGAAACAAAGGATTCATTCTGTGGTCAGAGAATATTCTGAAGTCTCAAACAACTGTAACTACATTTGTACAATATTGCATAATTATAATTATCCAAAAAGTTCATGGATCTTTAAGAAAATTCAAATTATTTTAATTATTTTCTATATTATTTGTTACATATGTATAAACGAATAGAGATTATACAAAAAAAAATCATATTATATATCACATAATGTAACATATTTTACATAATGTAACATATTTTATATATATATATAATTATATTTATATATAATTATGTATGTAAATTTTATACTGAAAAGCAAAAAAAATTTATATAATACACATTTATGTTACATAATACATAGTACATAGTACATATATCTATTAAAGTTGAAAAAATATAACAAAACATTGTTGATACTGTATAAATAGTGCCTACTAATTATCACATTAGTTTTTCTTCGTGATTGATGAACAATAGAAAAAAATGAAATTTATTCGATAGCATTGCGTTAATCACGGTATAATTTTGCCGCGTATCCTCGATCTACATTTCTTGGCCACTATATAGCTCTTATAGGACAGTTGATTGTCAGATAAATTAAACCACTTCAACAGATTGTATTATGCTAGAAAAGAAAAGATTGGCTACTGCAAAAAATTAAATAATAAAATATGGCATTGATAAAATATAGCATTTGAACTGGCTATTGCCAACCAATTAAAAATGCTATGTCATATTCAACCAATCTTTTCTTTTATTGTAATAAATTTATCTGCATAAAGAAGATGAACGTGTCAAAGAAGTGACACTATTGTTTGCTGACATAATGTTTGATAATTTTAGATATCGCATACAATAATATTATCATTAGACTTTATATAATATTATCATTACTTATAATATTATCATATAAAATATTATTCATTATTCGTAATACGAATTAAGATTGATGACTTAGAAAGACAGACCTTGAGAGAGGACCTTGACTCTGTGGAAAAAAGAAAGGTGTAAGACTTTTAGTTCTTGTGTAACTTTCCAACCTGTTTTCTCTTTATCTTTAAAGTGCAATTGAAAAGCGTAATGTAAAAAGAATGAATGTATATGTAAAGAATGATTTTGCTGAAATATTTATACAGGAAATTTAAGCATGATGACCAGTGCAAAAAATTATGACATTCTAGTAACCAGTTTAAGCATCTTATATAATTATATCGATAATCTAATAAAATTTATTTTCAGATCTGAGGCATTCCTCAAATCGGGCACCTTTAAAACATTATCATTTTTAATATTTTTAAAAATTTGATAATATATTCTATTGATGAAAATATGAGACTCATGTTTTGCGAAAAAAATTTGAGATTTTTTTTGTAAAGTTATTCATTCATTGCTTATAGTATATAAATTGTAGAAATTCATAAAAGTCGCTGATTAATGTGACATTAAAATTATGCGAACATTAAAATGTATTATATCATGATGTAAGAATACAAGGTGTACTATTGCGCATAATGACGATAGCAATACTGGAAACAACCAATCAAATTTTGGTCTCTATGCACTTTCCTGCGTATAATAGCGCTAACATATTGGAATAGCCAATCAAATTTTGATTTCATTCTTCTTCTTCTATTCTCGGGAAAGGTATTTATAACATGATATCATCGAAACCATTAGTATGCAGTATTGCGCCGTTACACAACAGAATTTTTTAACTATACAATTCATTCGAGTTTTATTTTGAAATTTTCAAGATTAATTCATAATTGAAGTGGGAATATGATGATATTTTTACAAAATTTTTAAATTGAGTTTTTTAAAAAAATGTTAATGAAAAAATGTAAATACATGGAAAATGATTTATTTATATAAAAATATGATAAATTAAAAATAATCTATCTATAAAACAATTTAAGATCTTTAAAATCTTTTTTTTGTATTTTTTTTTTGTACAACTAATGGTTTCGATGATATAATAATTTGAATGTTCGCAAGGATGACGTTTCTTATAAATTTCTGTAACTTAAAAGCATGAATAATTTCATAAAAAAGATTTAAATTTTTTTTTCGCTAAACATGTCTCATATTTTTATTTGTAGAATATGTCAGCGAAAAAAAAAATTAAAAATGATGATATTACAAAAGTGTCCGGTGGAATGTCTCATCTAAATGTTTAGTTTAATTTTTACTTTAGCAAACTAATTTTTTGTATATATGTTACAGAAACTTCTCAACAAATTCGGTAATTTTGAAAGTAGGTACATTTTACTTTCACAAAAAGTTTACAATATTTATTTTGACATACTTAATAAACAATCATTTGTTGGAATGTTGTATTCATGCAATTAAACGTGTTTGCAATGTTACACTGAAGGAAATATTTTGATATAAATAATGTACCATTTATTTTGTTGATATGTGACTAATAAAAACTTTCTTACTTGTTTATTTAGAAATTATATTTTTCTAATAAAATTTTGGTTAAAACAATACAATTTTTGACTAACCAATTTTTAACAAAACAAATGATTATTATATATCCAAATCTTTTTCAGTGTATGCATGTTGAAAGATAACTTCATCTTATAAAGTGTGATATATAAAGCATCATGCTTCCAAAGAAAGGTTATGTTTAAATTTAAAAAATCGTTTCTTTTGTTGATTTTTTTAAGTTGAAGTGAAAATATCTTTGAGGAGAAAATAAAAGTTTATTTCAAGAAATGATTTTCAAATCAAAGAAACTTTTCTTTAATCACGATGCACAAATTCTTTGATTTAAACACATTATTTTAATCAAAGAAATTTTTCTTTAAGTGTGTAAAAAAACGTAACATATTAAAAATTTCTTAAAAAAATTCATAACTTTCAAAGGCAATACATTTTAGTTTACGAAGTTCTCGATACGTTTTGACACTTGTAAAAAACAATCGTGCCGAACAACCTTACAATGAAATGTTTGCAACATTGTGCGCGTCGGAAGATAATTTTATCTTTAAAGCGTGATCATCAAAAAACGTCACGTAGAAAACGTAATATGTTAGCTACGTTTTTCAACAAAAACTTCCAAAAAATTCTAAATTTTCCAAAGCAAATGTACTATTTTATTACAAAGTTCACGATATGTTTGATACACTTGTAAATGAATCATTCGCCCGAATGTTGCAACTCTGTACTAAATATTTTGCACTCGTATACACAAGTAATAATTATTTCAAGTATTTCAAAAGTTCATATTCACAAATCTATCATGAGTTCATTACAAGCATTAAATTTATTCAAAATATAAATTCTAGTAAGTTTAATACTTCAATCAAGTTTCTTAAGTTAAAAGAAATTCAATTTGTTTATTATGAAAAGTTTGTTTTTTCGATCAATTTTATAGTATTTTTTAGAAGAAAATAAATTCTTGTTTCGAATATATAATAATGAGTTTTTCTGAAATTTTGTAATAAATATATTTTAAGATTATTATCAAGAAAATATTCTTTGTTAAAGATAATTATACTTAAAGGAAAGAAAATAAATTGAGTACTCATTTTTCTTAACAGTAGATTGATTTTTTCTGTGTTCCTC